CCCTAATTGCAAGTGGAAAATAAGATGCCACTAAGTGCCATCTTGCGAGCAATTGGGTGCCAATAACTGTCTTTCAGGAGTAGTTAAGTGGTATTAACTTTCTTCCCAGGTAAATTATGTGTCAATAATGGTCTCAGGTGATGTGTTTAAGTGAGTAATCTTGTAGTTCAGTGCCTGTAATTGGCTTCTGAGGAGAGCTAAGTCCTGTAACTATTAACTGGTTGGATAGTTAAGTATCTGTAATTATGTTTCGGGAGGGGGGGGGGTGGTGGTAGTTAAGTGCTTCTAATTATACACTTAGGGTTAAATAGGTGGTTAAGTGACTGTCTTGTAATGGTTAAGCCGACTAAATAAATACCTTTAATTACCTGTTAGAGGCATTTCACAGCCCTTAATTACCTTGTTGGGTAATTATGAACGTATATTTAAGGGAAGGAAGAAGGGCAGCTTCCAAAATTAAACAGCAAAAATATACTGGAGCGAACGATTCTTTAAGGAAAATGTAGAATAGAACCAGCGAAGAATAGAGGGCACAGAACACTGTTCACTCAAAGAACACTGTGTGAACATCAGAGGTCCATGGTTGTTCAATAACCTCCCCAGCATGAACAAGAAATATTGGCCGAACAAAATTGGACTTTTTCAAGGAGGAAAAAATTTAGACACTTCCCCCTGCATGACGTACCGGATCAACCAGGCTGTGGTGGATATGTGGCCCTGCGGACAGCACCAATCAGCAACAGCCTGTTGGACCAAGTTATCACAAGTCATGCCTGGCCTCCAGCCGCACTTTGGGAGAAGAACTCCCAGAGCACACTCCAAATATACCCCAAGTATACTCCAGGTGTACTCCAGGTATACTCCAGGTATACTTCAAATATACTCCAGGTATATCTCATCTCAACACTCTCAGGAAGATAGATCATTGCTTCTCAGGTACCCTCCCTTGGGTTCTTTAAGTACCTCAAAAGACCTTTTCTTGAGAGTAGTTAAACTACCTTTCAAACTACCTCATACTTGAGGTAATTCACTGTCTCTATACCTCTTAAGAGACTACTAACAATTAATCTAATTACCTCCAGATTCACAACCCATTTTTAAACCTATAAATGCATTCCACATCTCGAAACTACCTTTCTACCATCATATATAAAAAAAAAATTTAAAAAATCATACCATATCACATAAAAAATATTACAAATCTTAGCATTCTCCAATACAATAATACAAAGTTTTCAATTATCCAAAGTTGATCGTCTAAGTTGCTTAATTACTTTCTGTAAAATCGCCATAGTTTCATTTTTATCCATTAGAGATAGTTCAAGTTCCTTTATTAGCCCGTGATAGATTGATCAAGTTCCTTTATTAGTCTGTGATAGATTGATCAAGTCCCTTTATTAGCCTGTGATAGATTGATCAAGTTCCTTTATTAGCCCGTGATAGATTGATCAAGTTCCTTTATTAGCCCGTGATAGATTGATCAAGTTCCTTTATTAGCCTGTGACAGATTGATCAATTTCCTTTATTGTCCTGTGATAGATTGATCAAGTTCCTTTATTAGTCTGTGATAGATTGATCAAGTTCCTTTATTAGCCCGTGATAGATTGATCAAGTTCCTTTATTGTCCCGTGATAGATTGATCAATTTCTTTAAATATCCCATGGTTGAATGATCACGTTCCTTATCTATCACGGTAGATTAAGTTCCTTAATTACCTCATGGTAGATTCATAACTTAATTACCCTCTGACTGTTTGAGTAAATCTCGCGACAGGGACTTAGCGCTGCCTGTTCTCACCTTTCCGCCACTCTCTTAAAAACGAACTAATGTAACGAGAGAGAAAGTGAGAGAGAGAGAGAGAAAGTGAGTGAGAGAGAGTGAGAGAGGTACAATCATCTCGCCTCATCTTCACTACCTTCCAAGGCGTCCTTTCTTTTTTCTCTCTCTCTCGCAAGTCGAAGTCGCGTCCCATCCTCTTCAGCCGGCCCAATAACGACCCAGATTACGCGCAGCAGGACTCCTGAAGGGAAGGAAGTGAAGGGAAGGGGGTGAAGGGAAGGGGGGGGGTGAAGGGAAGGGAGGGAGGAGAGAGGAGTCTCGTCTCGGGGTGTCTCAGTGTGTCTCTCTCTCTCACGACACTCAAGATCAATGTGCCAAGATGACACAATCTCAAAATGAACAAAATCTATCGAGGGAATATGAGCATTATCGTTAATGTCTACCTGGTCCTGCTAGTATCCCAATACCAAGGTCCTGTTAGCATCCCAGTGCCCAGGTCCTGCTAGCATCCCAATGCCCAGGTCCTGCTAGCATCCCAATGCCCAGGTCCTGTTAGCATCCCAATACCAAGGTCCTGTTAGCATCCCAATGCCCAGGTCCTGTTAGCATCCCAATGCCCAGGTCCTGTTAGCATCCCAATGCCCAGGTCCTGCTGGAAACCCAATGCCCAGGTCCTGCTGGAAACCCAATGCCCAGGTCCTGCTGGAAACCCAATGCCCAG